GAGGCGACAGCAGCGTTGTCAGCGCGGAGTGGTCGGTTCGTAGGGTGAAGTGGCGGCCCCAGAGGTAGATCCGCCAGTGCTCGATGGCATTCACAGCACTCAGCGCTTCTTTTTCGGAGACTGAGTACTTCGCTTCAGCATCTGTGAAGGAACGTGACCAGTAGGCCACTGGGCGCTCCTGTCCGTCCGCCTGGATCTGAGTCAGGACGGCGCCTGCCCCACGGTCACTGGCGTCCGTGGTGACGATGGTGTCCAGTGCCGGCGAGAACGGCATCATCACCGGACTGGAGGAGATCAGGCTCTTGACGCTGTTGAAGGCGTGTTCCGCGGCTGGGCCCCACTCGAAGGGGACGTCCTTCTTCAACATCACAGTCAGCGGCTGGACCACCGTGGAGTAGGCGGGGATGAACCTGCTGAACCAGGCGGTGGTGCCGATGAAGCTCCGTAGCTCCTTGAGGTCGGTGGGGTGTGGTGCATCCACCACAGCCCTGATTGCTGACTGCAGAGGTGCGACTCCGTGCTTCGTCAGGCGGTGACCACAGAAGTCGACCTCAGGCTGGGAGAAGACGGACTTCTGCATGTTCACTGTGATGCGAGCTGCGCGAAGCCGGGCCAGGACGGCATGCAGGCGGGCGTCGTGCTCGGACTGAGTGCGCCCGGACACCAAGATGTCGTCGAGGTAGTGACCACATCCTGCGATCCCGTCCAGGACTTGGTCCAGGAGCTTCTGGAACGCAGAGCCAGAACTGACGAGACCCATGGGAACTCGTTTCCAGCGGAAGAGGCCGTCCATGGTGAGGAATGCAGTGATGTCTCGGGAATCTTCATGCAGGCAGAGTTGGAAGTACGCGGACTTCAGGTCTATCCTGCTGTAGACGGTGCCTCGTAGGTTCCGCTCCAGGTCATCTATGGTGGGAAGTGGATGTACCTCCGCAATGATCTGTGAGTTCGGCCATCGAAGATCAGTGCAGATGCGGAGTTTGCCATCCTTCTTGCGAGTGACAGCCAGTGGGCTGACCCACTGAGACGCGTCTGCTCGTTCGATGACGTCAGCTCGGAGAAGTCGATTGAGTTCAGCTGACACCTCCTCCCGGACTGAGAGAGGCAGACGACGAAGCTTGAACGCTTTAGGCACAGCGTCAGGCTTCAGCTGGATCCTGTGAGCGTATCCGTCGATAGCTGGGAGATGAAGTTGCTCCTCTGACGCAGAGGTCTGCTCATCCAGATCGAAGATGGTGTGCGAAGCTGGGTGCAGAGTTAATCCCAGGGCACTCAGCACATCCATACCCATGATGGCCTCCAGGCGGGGCGTGTCCACCAGGTAGAATGATGCGTTGACCTTGCGCTCGTTGTAGCTGATGATGGCAGGGAGGGTGCCATGAACTTGAATGGGGTTGTGGCCGAAACCGTACAGGTTAGCAGAAGTAGGCTCGTAGCTGACACCCTTGAACAGCTGCTTGGCACGCTGCAGGCTTAGAAGCGAACAGGTGGCACCTGTATCCACTTGAAGATGCACACCCTCACGTGTGATGTCACCGGCTGCGATGGTCACTGGACACGACAGCTTCGTTGACTTGCCCTGTTCACAAGCCAGAACGTGCAGTTCTCTGACAGCTTGTGGTCTGGAACGGCTGGACCCAGATCTGCCGCCACGAGGACCTGGTTTCTTGGGTTTTGAACCTCCACCCCTGGGTTCTGGGTTGTCGCGACTGCGACACCAGGCAGCGAAGTGTCCCTGGCGGTTGCAGATGTGGCAGACGATGTGCCTGGCTGGGCAGCTGGGATCACGGACAGGGTGATCGTGACGTCCACAGTTGGTGCACGGGGTGCTGACGGCCTGGGCAGGTTGCTGATGCCCTTTACGTGTCTCCACCTTGGCGACAGCAGGAACAGGTGGAGCGGCGACAACACCATGCTGAATAGTAGCGGCCTGCTGCAGAGCCTGCTCATGAGCCTCTGCCATGCCGAGCAGCTTCGGCAGTGTTAGGTCATGCTCCTGCAGAAGGCGCTGACGCAGAGCATTGTGAGGGGTCTTCTCCACAATTTGGTCCCTGATCAGCTCGTTCTCCATCGCTCCGAAGTTGCACTTCTTGGCAAGTCCATGCAGAACTGCAGCGTAGTCTGCCGTAGACTCATGTGACTGTTGGCCTCTTTGCCGGAACTGGAACCGTTCTACGATGACGTTGGTCTTGGGTTCGTAGTGGTTGCGTAGTTGGCGAATGGTGACGTCATAGTCGTCCTCGTTCTCGTCCTTCACCAGCGCCGGCAAGTTTTCGTAAACGCGATATGCCTCATCTCCGATTGCACAGAGTAGCAGTGCACGTCTCTGGGCCGCTGGTAGAGGGGTGTCGCCACTGCGAGCAATCAAGTAGTTCCCGAACCGCCGCTCCCACGTCGCCCACGGCGTTTGCGGTGCACCAGGGTGCGGCAAAAACGGCGCGGGGAGTGGCACTCCCCCGTCGAAGGCGCTCATTGCGTCGCCGAATGCAAGAAAACTGACGAAAATATAACACACGCGCTCGACATTACGTGAAAAGTTCGAAAAGTATCCACTCGTCGCCACAATATAGTGTCCTGGGTGTGTAGTTCCGTCGAACGGTCCGGGCCACGACACGCCACCATTTGTCCAAGATGGAGACTGTTTATTTTCGATAGTGGCGGACAGGGAACGACACAATAGAGAAACAAGTACTCGGTACTGAGTACGACGGTACCCATAGGCTACGGTCGCTACAGTTTGGCAATATGTATTTAGCCCAGCACTAGGAAGTTGCAGCGTATATTGACGCGGCTGCGACATAAAAGCGTATTTTGCGTGGTTTCCATGTGGCAAATATTGCGAGCAGTCTGACAAATCTCTAATCCGAATTAAGCATCGAATGCAAAACTGTTAGCGGTCCTCAAAACTGGAAGGTGAAGAACACCAAACGGATAAAGATTGTTTGTTGAGCTATGAAAACAATAGTTTTTGGGTGATGGTGGAGGTGATGGGAAGGTGGTTGTTTTTTTTTAATACCTAGTAGGGTATGTATCTACTTTTTGCCATTGTATCTTTACTTTTGTGTAATTGGGAGCCACCACGGCAATATGTGACAGATCCATCAATGCTCATAAGCCAAGGTATTCCAATATTTAGGTTGATAGGTAAACGCTGATTCTGCTGGGAAATGTAAAGTGAGTGAGAAGACCATGGATTAGATCAAGCAATTTATGACCCTTAGCCCAAAATCAAATCAGTAACTAAGGTTACCAAATTATAATGTGAACATGCATTGTGTATTCATCAATATGTTTTGCTTGCTCACAAATGTCCTGTTGAAACAGGGTATTGAAAATATAAAGATTAACATGATATCATAAACATGTGTGTTGTGCAATGTGCGCCTGCTTACTGCTACTGTTAACTTGATTACTATACTGATTTTAGGGCACTGGAATGAAACTTTACATTCATTTTTTCATTTTCATGTATTGACATTTATGTATAATTTTGTGTTTACAGTTTGATTAAAAACTTAAAACAAAATTTCTATGTTTTTTTCAATAATGATAGCTGTGCGCATTTATAATACTGCAAAATACATAAAAAATTTGCAGTGCATTGTGTGTGACTATGATGCAAATAGCACATATATTTCTACATAATATAGTACTAAATATGGTCATAACTTCAATTTCCAGCACACGGTGATTGAATCATTTTGTTAATTCAATCAACTTGAATCGATGAGTTGCCGATTCAATCACTTGCAGTTGCCATGTGTGACCGATTCAATCAGGATTCATATGGTGACAAGAGGTGATTCAACCGACTCAATCACAGTGAGTCGGCATTTTCAAGCGATTCATGAGAATCGATTCAATCAGAGTTGAATCGCTTACAAGTCTGCTCAGCAGCCGCTTGGGCGATTGACTTGCGGTAATTTTTGTAGGGTAGCAGCATCCTTTCTACCCAAAATAGGATACTCTCGATGCATGTGGGTCACCCCCAGTGCACGTGCAAAATACAACAATAAGAGGTGCCAAATTTGTTCCCATTTCAGTAACTCGGTAATTACTGGGGCGATTTCGCTGAAACTTGGCATACAGGTAGGCACCCACCAGGCAATGCATTCCCATGTGTTGCGGTTAGGGTGCTACTGCACGTGCGCACGTGCAGGGGGCGTTTCCAGATCTCGAGAACGGCTGGGCCGATTGCGCTCAAATTTGGTACACGGTTGGGGACCAGTTAGTAGGGTGCCGTGCAAAAGTCATTTTGGACCCCATTTGCACGTGCGCACGTGCAAAATGCCGCTTCCAGATCTCAGGAACGGCTGGGCCGATTGCATTCAAATTTGGCACACCGCTAGCGACCGGTTAGAAGGGTGCTTTGCGCAAGCCGGTTGGAAGCACCCTCTCGCCCTTCCGCACGTGCAGGGCTCACTATCTCGCTCGCTCGTTCTTCGCCCAAAAGGCGTTTTACTGGTAAATATTCACTCATTATATTTTCAATTTATTTGACTTTTGTGCATGACGAATATTTACTTTTCAAAAAATAGGTGCTATCTCCAAAATGGAAATTTTTCAGATTTCAGGGACCACACCATCGGATTCCTCGCAAAATTTTGGTTCAGAAAACACTAAAATTGGAGATAGGTATTTTCAAAAGTTATTTACCGTCTTTTGGGGCAATGTGGACGGGGAGCGGAGTCATGTTCTTGGCGGGACTGTATGGGCGAGGCTAGGGTGTGTCTCTTTACTAGATGCTTTGCACTGGTGATTTAAGTTATGTGAGAGTTCTTAACTATTTTGTACTGGTACTTTGAATGAATCAAGCCGTAACTGTTATAGGAATTGAATTGCTTTTGCTGATAAGAAAATACTTGCGCTAGCTGAAGGCAGCATAGTGAACAACTTCAAGTGCATCGGTAATGGTCAAACTAGTGGAAATCCAGGAATTTAATGGTTGGACCTTCCTTCTCATTGAGGGGTGTTTCAACTTGTTCTCTCCCCCTTTTCAGATAAGGAGTACCTGCTGATAGTTATTCAAAATCCAAACGAGTGACATCACTAGGCAAGCTCACGTGAATCTGAACACTAAAACAAGATTTACCACACACTCGAGCTATTGATGAGGCTCGCTAACATTATATAGATGTGTGGCTATTTATTTGTGTTTTAATTGATGCTCGGTTGCACATTCCATTGTTGCAGCCCCAAGTTTGTATCGCGGGCACAACTGGTGAAAATTGCTGTCTAACACGCTGTTTTCCTAGCATTATCGGCGGTGTGGCTTTATCCGCCAGTCTTTGGGCGTCCATGAGTCATTGCGTCGGTGAAATTCGTTCGGATGCCACGTTTTGTTTTATTAATTGAATAAATGCGAAGCTGTTTCCTATTGTGTTGTGTTGTATCAGTGGTAGAACCGACGATGTCAAATTCTTCTTATTTCGGTTTGGGTTGGTTCTTTGTATGCCGGCTGGCCCTCTCCCAAAGGCTGACCCTTTCCCATCTTCATTCCTCCCATCTCCCCTAGATGAGACTTCAGCCTTGCTGTCTCTGTCTATCCTCCTTTCGCTTGCCCCTTCTCGCCGTCCTCGCAACTCAAACACGCCCTGTGACGGGTATACATATGTGGTTTGTATTGATAGTAGCCGCGCAGTGGAATGTAACGTGGGCGGCGGCCGGCGGCGCGACTGGCGCAGCGACGTACCGCAGCGGCCGGCAAACACCCAGACACACCCAAACACACAAACAGGGCGGCGCTAGCGGGGCGGGGTTAACGCAGAGCGGGGCAACATGACTAGAATCTTGCAGGAAGACACAAAATATACTTCCGCTATAAGCACTTGGATTTGATTCACAAGGTGACTTTGATGTGCAATAAGTGACGCTGCGAGCGCGGCGGCGCGGGTTATAGATGACGCTGTAAGCGTCACACGTAACACGGTGATCGCGACGAACACGAATAGAGGGATTAGAACGGCGGCGCGCGCGGCGGCTAGTGTTTCCGCCGGGCGCGGGTGGGCAGCGCGCGCACCAGGGCTCCGAGCCGGTCCAGCTGCTCCTGGATGGCCTCGCGCTGGCGCCACTGCAGACTGCGGAACGCCACCTGGCGGTTCAGCCGCAGCGCCAGGCCGCGGGAGGTCTCCTCCAGGCGAGCCTGCTGCGCGCGCAGCCGCTCCTGGGTACGGCGAGCCTGATCCGTGGCCGCCGCGCGCTCTGAGGAAGGCAGGAAAATCAAGTTAGTCCTCATAAATAACTGGTACAATTTGCACAACAGTAGCTGAACTACAAATGTTGCAACTGGTGCAATGAATTGCAATACGGTGACAGCTATACTCTAAAGACATTTGAACCCAACTCTGACCGTCTGCGATTCGTCCAATGCTCACCTTTATTGTACGCCGTGTACATTTGTGTGACGGCCTGCATGCCAGGCCAGGCGGCGCCGGGTAGGGCCAGGCGCGGCGCCGCCTCGGGCGCGGGCGGCGGCGCCGGCGGGCTGGAGGCGGGCTGACGGGCCGCGCCCGGCGCCGTCTGTGCGGCCTGGGGACTCTGCCGGGAGGAGCGGCTGGAGCGGGAGGAAGGCGAGGACCGGTTCCTCCTGCCCTTCTCCTCGACCGGCGCAGAGTCGCGGCGACTAGAGTTGTCTGGAAAGGAGGAGAGGCGTGTTAGAGGGTCGCTGAACGCAACAGAGACACATACGACACAGAGGAGTATTAATATCTGCAATGCAAGTTGTACTTTGAACTATGAGGTCATACGGAAAAAACTTATTCATTGTTCAAAATAAAAACATTCACCAATCCCACCAATCCTAATGCACCAATCCCACACCGCCTCCGCAGCTCGGACACACACCTGACTTCCTCTGTGAGGGCGACCCGGCTCCACTGGACGATGATCCCGCCGTGGACGGGGAGCCGCCGCTGCATCCGGCTCCGCTGGCTCCGGCCGCCTGTACGGCCATCCCCGCGGCGGCCGCCGGCGCGGTGTCCCCGGCAGCGACCGGCCGCAACCCGAGCCTCTCCAGGAACAGCAGCTTGGCCGGCATGTCGGCAGCCTCGTTCAGCGCTGCGGTTAGCTGGGAGCTGGGCCGCGGCTCCGGTTCAGGCTCCTTCTCCGGCTCGGCGGCTCCCTCGGGGCTGGTCGCGGCCGACAGGGGCAGGTGCAGAGCAGCGCGACGCTCGCACTTCTTCAGTTCCACGTCTGTAACGGTGAGAGATCGGGGACGTCAGGGGTTGGCTGCTAAAACGTCCCGAGGTAAAGCGTCAATGCTGACATATACTAAGTTGTGAATGGTGGGAATCGATATTTATTGGACACACTACTGTACAATCATCTGTGCCACTGAATGTTCTGCCCTAGAAACTATAGGACCAGAGTAGTCATGTCTCGAGTGGATATTCTATTGAAATGTAACGCCGAAGTCCAGCTCGTCCCGGTCGCTTGGCACTCACCGTTTTTGAAGCTGTGCGTGGTGAGTCCCACATGCGCGAGGAACTGCAGTTTCTCGGGAGAGGTGACCGTCTCACAGGGCGGGCCGGTCAGCAGGTCCAGGTGACGCACCGGCTCCGGCTCCTCCGTCTTCAGGCCGCGCCGGCGCAGTTCCTCGCGCTGGTCCAGGGTGCTGGTCAGCTGCTCGGCGGGCGCTGCCGCGGCCGGCGGCGGCTCGGCCCGCTCGGCCGGGCGGCTGCGCTCACTGAGGTTCAGCGGCGCCTCCGCCACCGGCGCGGGCGCCGCCGGGGTCGGCACCGGGACGGCGGGCTCGGCCGGGGTGCTGACCGTGTCTTCGAACGGCCGCACCACGGTGGTCTTCTTGTGCGAGCGGGGCTTGACAAGCGGCGGCGCGGCGGCGGCGGTGGTGGTGGTGACAGCCGGCGCGGCCGGTGCGGGCTCGGCCCCCGTGCGGAGGTCCAGCGGCGGCTCGCGCGGAGCCGGACGAGGCACCGGAGACGGAAGGTACGGTCGGTAGGCGGCCGGCGAGGTCTGCTGCTCGCCCCCGGAGCTCGCCGAACGGCGCTCGCCCGGAGAGCGGCTCTCCCTGGCGCCTGGAACAGCGGTACCGGGAGGTTACATCAATGCGCTGGAATATCCTTCGCGGTAAATACCGATTGACCAAGTTGCTGAGTACTAACACAACCCAAGTCTCACGGATGTTTGCTGCGATTGGGAACAAATGAAGTGACATTCTGTGCGAAGTCGGCCCATATGTCAGGACGACCTCTAGCGAAGGTAGCTTTCTCAAGAAGAAGGTCGTCTTCACTCGTTCCGTTTACATCCTCCGTGTCATTCCAAGTCAACCAATCCCCAGTATCCCACCCTCATACTGCCCACAACTGTGTCCTCACCAGATGTGCGCGGCTCCGCCTTCAGTGAGCCCGTGGCCCCGGTGTCCACCGGACGCACGGGGCTCCGCTCCCGGGCGCTGGGAGCCACCGCGTGAGAGGTCGGCTCCCGGCTCCTCTCCGCTCGCTGCTCCCGCTCCGACCGGTCGCGCTCCGTCCTCTGCTCACGCTCGGAACGCTCACGCTCTGTCTCCAGTTTTCTGCGCGTGTCCTCCTCCAGTTTCAGTCTGGTGATACATGTGGTGGCACAGGTTAGAAATTGCACGGTAGAGTCGCAGCAGCTGGGTGACAGTTGGGCTTCATTGTCATGATTTTTGTCACCACAATTCGTCTGGGAGTTTGCTCTTAAACAAAATGTGATACAGTGTGACACATTCGAGCACTGACGACTCGTAAAAACTTGCAGTTTCAACCTATATGGTGCTCTATCCCCCTAAGGTTCTGCTACAATTTCTAAAACTATGACAATACCACTGATGCCACGCACGCACCATAACACTTCGTAACCGCCCCGTCGGCCGCTGTCTCACCTCTCCTGCAGGTAGAGCGACTGCGACATGTAGAGCGGCGAGTGGAGCAGTTCACTGGGAGCTGGGTAGCGGCCCGCAGTCAGTAGCGGAGAGTAGGGCGACAGGCCGCTGACGCCGAGAGGCGGTCGCAGCAGGCCCAGTCGCTCGAGGTAGAGCTGCTCCTCCAGCCTGGATAGAGGGGGACGACGGGGAGAGAGTCGGTCAGGAGACGAGTCACCACCGGGGGACGGAGCAGGTGTGGGGTATATGAGCTACGGCGGCACCACCGCTCACCGCCGTCAAAGCACGTCACAACATGCAGCGATAAAACCTACACTGATGAAAACACGACGAGTGACACGGTTGGCGAAAAACACTGGAGCTCACAAGGAAGTGAGAGATTTATGATAAAAACAGCAAATACAGTCCAAATTAAAGACGCTACAAAGTCACCTGCTACGGCATCCTGCGTCGCAGCATCAGGTAACTACTTACCCATAGAGCGAGTGCTGAAGCGGGTGCTGCAGGGGGTAGAGCGACTCCAGGTACCGTTCCTCGGGTCGGCGCGGTGCCGGCGGGTAGCCGGGCCGTGTCGGCGCCGGCGAGTACAGGCCCGCCGAGGAGGCATAGCCCGGGTAGAGCGCCTCGAGGAGCCTCTGCTGCTCGTCGGCCCGGTACGGCTGGAAGCCGGCCGGCGCGCGCGGCAGGTCTCCGCCGGCGGCGGCCGTCAGGTGCGAGCTGACCTCGGCCGGCAGCGAGCCCTTCAGGTCGGCCGCAGAGCTGGTGATGGGTGCGGACTCCTGAGGACCGAACGGCACCGGTGACGAGATGGCTCATAGGCGCAAATGTCGGCAATTTATGTATGATAATGTGACGGGCGTGGTTTTTAACAGCGCGTAATCTTGATCGTAAATTAGAATACAGTGCCGAAGTAGGGCACAACTCACTGCTCAATAGAGGCCACGCAGTGTTCAACCCTCGTTGCGTTATCGTCTCACTACGTTCCGTTGTCTCAGCTGAGGTCTGTGGTCCACTCCTCTGCGAACTTACCCGAGAGCGCTGGTGGGTGGGCGTTGGCGCGATGGCCACCACCGGCGGAGGGTTGTCCGTGTGCGGCGCACGTGGCACGTGCAGCGGGCCGCGCTTGGGGCTCATCGGCGGCGCCGAGTCACGCGAGGATTTAGACGGCGCGGCTGGCTCCTTGGTCTCTGCGGAAACAGCCGGACGACACGCTGATGTGAGAACGGGCTGTGAAAGTTGTCGGATGGTCGGCTCCACCGAAGAATCTTGGGTTCGACCAACTAGATCGGCACTACAAACAACTGGGAGTGTTTTGTGCCCAGTGAAGTACTACGGCTTGTCTTTACTCGACCGTGACCCGCTGGCATGCGGTCGGCAGTAAAGTTGCCGAATTAAATACCGGCTGCACGGGCACCGTCTAAATGGCCGGAAATCACGCTTGGTGCACCGCCCATCATCAGTGGAGCAGGGAGGGATCATCCTGACGCCCGACGTAACCCCGCCCGCTACCGCACTTCTGTGCCTGATTAGGTGCCACGGATGAGGATGGAACTTCATATACTGGCTATTCAACCACAGGAATGAAACATCTCACACTGCAGTGTATGTAGATGACTGTTCGCACTTCCCGAGCTAACCGTCTAAAGCATCCGCCGAGCGTGAACAGAACCCGTCGCCGTCAGCATCTCAACACACACAACTTCTATACAAATTAGGGTGTAATTAGTAAGCCTTCCCTTCACCCTCCTTCCCTATCACTCACCGGTACCTCCTGCGTTTCTGGCCAGCGATTTGAGCGCGGCCGCGAAGCTGTTGGCCTGGCTGGAGGCGGCAGAGACCGGCGGCTGTCCCACCGAGGTGACCGGTGCCAGGCTCTGCGGCAGCGGCGGCACCGTGGCTGTGTTCCGCGGAGAGACCTTGTGAGGGGGCAGCAGGTGCGACGGCGGCTTCACCGGCGACGACAGCCCTGTGGACGGAGGGGGTGTGGGTTAGACAAGTGACGGCGGGCTAGATCGGGGGAGACGAAGCTTGGCGCGGGAAGGCTCGGAGGAGGGATATGGATCGAAAGGGATTGGTAGGGAAAGTCAAAGGTCTACATTTTTTCATGATGTTGAGCCGGAGCGCGTTTATCGGTAAATTCCATATTCGACTTGCTAAGTCTCCAACGGCATACAACCGTTCAAAAATAGCCTAGCAACACACGATGTGGGACTGAGTCGATCGGCTTCTGAGGACCAGACATGTCCCGTCCATTCCCCTATATTTTATATCACCTGCCCCTCAGACCCGGGCGACTGTTTCTCCTCCGGTGCTCTCGCCATCCCGGACAGTTCCTCCGGCGCTCTCCCCTGGCTCTCTGAGCCGGCGCGGCGTTGGCGGTGACCAGACCGTCACGTTCCACCTCCCACGCGTGTCACGCCGGCGGCGGCGGCGGCGGCGGCGGCGGCGGCGGCGGCGCGGGGCACCTGTCCGGCCACATCCATAATGCAGGCCGTAATGGGACCGACGCGATTAATCAGAGGAGGCGGTGGACGCGCGACTCCCCCGCGGGCTGGCGGTGACACGAGGCCTGCGACATATCGCCCCGGGGTGCAGAAGGCCGGTCACACGCTGATACTAACCGGTGACACTTGGTGACACTGACCAGTGAGCAGTGACATCCGGTGACACTCGATGACACCAACCAGTGACACTTCGTGACACCCGGTGGCGACACTTCTCGGTGACAATTAGCGACAACCAAATGTCTCATAACGTGAAGAGCCGACAGATACGGCCTCACCAAATATCCGTATATATCGTGTGCTAACTAATCACTACCAAGCGTGGCTAATAAAGCAATCCAAAAGTCCAGCAGCCATACTGGCGCCGTCTCCCTGCGGTCGACACTGGGCTCGCCTCGGTTCTCCATCGGCAGACCTTCAGCTGCCGCCCCAGACCTGACCGTCACCAGCCGAGTGGGACGGCCCGGAGGTCGACCACCGCTCGGCGCTCGCCAGTCGCCGCCCCACATCCGGCCTCGCTCGGCAGTCGGCTCCCGCTCCGCTCGGGCTCGGCTCGGCTTGGCTCCCAGCTCCGCGGCGGCGGCTCCGGTCCCCTCGCCGTCCTCATCAGCAGTCGACGGCAGCGGTGCGTGTTTGGGAGCGGCGCGCGTGGCCGCCGGGGGCCTCTCGAGCGCCGCCGCCGCCGTCGGGCCGCCGCTCGGTCGGTCGGTCGGTGGGTGTTTTTGCCGCCCGCGCTGACGGTCGATCCTGAAGGCGGATCGGAGCCACCCCGCACGTCGGGCCGAGCTGCGACCGCACCGGACGGCACGGGACGGACAGGAAGGCAGGGCACGGGACGGCACAGACAGGACGGCCAACAGGCAGGACTGACAAAGGGCGGGACCGGACGCTATGGAGAGGAATATGGTGGGTGATGGGTATGAGCGAGGCAGGACATAATTTGAAATCAAATAATGCGATGAGCCACAAAATAGCGGAATATAATTTTCGAGAATGATATGATGAGAGGCCGGACACGGTAGATATGAGTGACATCGGCAGGAGAGAGGGAGAGAGCAGAGCGCGACAAGCTAGAGTTCCGCCGCAGTGCAGAGCGGCGCCCCGGGCAGAGGGGAGAGCGGCGCTAATGACGTGAAAACGGCTCCGGGCGTCGGCGGCGCGGCCGTGACTGGCTGGCTGTCGGCGCCCGACCGGGAGCGGTCGCGTGACGCGTTGGCACGCCACCTGACCGGGCGGACCGGCGGACCGCAGTCCCCCCTCCCCCTCCCCTCCGCTGACCGCCACCGACCGCCGACCGGCCGTCCGGCCGGCCGGGCCGGCCCCGCCGCGCACCGCCGACCAAATAAATGCCTCGGCCTCGGCGGCGCGGCCGTCGCTCGCTCGGGCGTCGCTCGCCGTCCCGGCTTTATGGGCGGGCACGCCGCCGCCTTTACTGCCGGTCCGGCGCCCGGGTGGCAGTCGGCCATTATACCGCCGCTTTACGGCAGCCGAGTCGCGCCGGCGAGCGGTCGGCACCGGGCGCCGGCTGCCGAGCTCGGCATTGATTCAGCTCGCGCCGGCCGGTATAGCGCGGAGCGTCGGCCGCCGCCGGGCCGCGCCGCGTCCCCAGTGAGATGAGCGGCACGCGTCCCAGCCGGCGCGCCGCGCCAGCCGCCCCCGGCTAATTCCATTTGCCGAGTGGCAATTGGCGGTGGGCTCGCGCACCGCCGCCGCCGGCCGCCTGCCGGACGCACCGTCCCGGGGGACAGAGGCGGCGGCGGCGCGCCGGTCCGGGCGGCGGCGGCGGCGCGGAACGAAAATCAACACCGCCGCCAAACAGCGCCGCCGCGCCGGCATTATACCGGGCGGCGCGGCCGGCGCGGCGGCTAATGGGAGGCCTGGCCGGCAATCACCGGCCGCAGCCGACGGTGTCGACACCCCTCCCCTCCCCTCCCTCTGGGGCGGACAGGTCGACCGCCGACCGACGCGTCGGTCCGCCCCGGTGGCTCCGGGCAGTCGGCGCGGCCGACGGGCGGCCCATCAGCCGGCCACAAAGCCGCCGCCGCCGCCGCCGGTCGCCGGGGCGGGGCACCTCTGGTCGCCCGCTCCGCCCCGCTCCATGTTCCATTCATGCCGCCGCAGGACGTCCGCGCCGGCGGGGGCGGGGGCGGGGGCGGCGGCCGAGCGAGCGGAACGGGCGGGCCGCGGCGGCGGCGGCTGCTCAGTCAAGCGCGCTCGACAGCTCGACAGCTCCGACAGCCGGCCGGCGGCGAGCGTCCGGTCCCAATTGGCTCCGGCGCCCGGAGCCGAGGGCAGCGCCGTTCTGCTTTCCGCTCTGCTCAGCGGGGCAACGCTACAGGCATAGGTACGTCCGGCTCGGCGACGCAGTTTACTGCATAAACATACTCCTGTACTCTGCAGGGTCCTTCGCCTCTGTCCAGGCAATGCCGGTCCCTCAGAATGAATCGGGCTCTTCCTGTCCCCATCCGGCTCGACCATAACCTTTCCCTCGCACGGACCCCTCACCATTTCAGACCCGCTGAGTCCAGACATCTGCCAAAACTCAGCTCCGACTCGGCTCCGACTCGGTCAGACTCAGTCCCGACTCAGTCCCGACTCAGTCTTGACTCACCGTGCAGCTCGGTGTCTGGGGAGCCCGGGCAGTGCCGACCCGGGCCGGGCCGGGCCGATGCGGTACGTCGGCTCGGTCGCGTGCGGTCGCGTGCGCCTGGTGAACCGTAACGGGTGGGCTGCCCGCCGAGTCCCCCCCAGACCGCGGGGGGGGGGGGGCAGATGGACGGCCACCTGACGACGGCCGCACCGACGGACAGCACCGAACCGCCGGGGTAAATATACCTACGCCGCCGGTGACAAACGCAGTCGTTAGAGGCCGGACGCACCGGCCGCTGCCGAGACGACGGCGCTCAGAAAACGACGCAAAAGTTGTGTGCCGCCAAAGCCGTCCAGCGCCGGAAGTCTAATGCAAAACGCTCCTCTTCCTACGCACACAAGTCGGGCGACAACAACAAAAAGTCTCCAAACGCCGCCTGCGACGCAAATTAGACGAAACTCTCCCGCACGAATTATCATAAGTCGCATCGAGATTCCTGCCGAGTTAAAAACTCGGTCGAGTCCGACCTGCGCTAGGTTTTCCGAGCGGGGCATACATATACCTCCCGTGGAGCTGCCCGTCTCCCTAACGCGTCTCCCGCTGTCACGACTCACTCTCAAACACTTAGGCCGGGGGGATCCAGGGCGTCGCAAGTCCATCTACGACACGTCGCAAGTTACGACACATATGCCGTCGCAAGTTGTGTCGTAGCGGAAAAGGAGGGATGTTGAGGAAAGAGGGGTTTGTCGGAGGATACGACAGAACGTAGCTGCGACGAGGTTTAAATACCCGCTTTACTCGAGAATTTAAAAGGCTACACGATCAGCTGATCCCGTAGTAAACGTCAGTAAGGTCGAAAACTCTATCACGCATAAGGGAACATTCGCCTTTCTGGTTTGCGAGCTTATGAGACAGCAAGGTCAAGCATGTTCTCTGATTCTGAAGCTTTGCATTAACTGGGTGACTTGTGGTTGCTAACGCTCACGTGATTTGCCGTGAAATTTGGGATCGATCACAGGAGATTCGTGACTATAGGGCATCTAGAATCGATGCTTTAGAAGAAATGAGTTCCGAGAGTTTGAGGTCACAGAGAGGTAAGAAATTTGTAGATGGAGGTCACAATTGGAGGTTACAGAGGTCATCTGGGACACGTCAGGTCACAGAGGTCAGCTTAGAGTCATTAGAGAGCTCAATTGGAGGTCACGGAGGTCATCTGGGACACGTCAGGTAACAGAGGTCAACTTGGGGTCATCACAGAGCTCTATTGGAGGTCATGAGGGTCATCTGGGACACGTCAGGTCACAGAGGTTAGCTTGGGGTCATCATAGAGGTCACTTAGAGGTTACAGAGGTCATATGGGACACGCCAGGTCACAGAGGTCAAGTTGGGGTCATCACATGAGCTCAAATGGAGGTCATCTGGGACACGTCAGGTCACAGAGGTCAGCTTAGAGTCATCAGAGAGCTCAATTGCAGGTCACGGAGGTCATCTGGGACACGTCAGGTCACAAAGGTCATGTTGGGGTCATCACAGCTCTATTGGAGGTCATGGGGTCATCTGGGACACGTCAGGTCACAGAGGTCAGCTTGGAGTCATCAGAGAGCTCAAAAGGATGTCACGGAGGTCATCTGGGACAGGTCAGGTCAAAAAAGGTCAACTTGGGGTCATCACAGAGCTCATTGGAGGTCATCGAGGTCAGCTGGGACACGTCGTTTTTGGAATTGGGAGAATATTTTGGGGGATGCCTCTTGCAACGTCCAAGACCGCCTTTCTGGATTCGCCAGTAGTTGCTGGAATGGTGTTAGGCTACTTCATATCCCCGAATACCCAATAAATGTGAATATAACATATTATGCACCATTTTCAACACTC